GGAACCGGCTGCTGCTGCCAAAGAGGGTTTTGCTCCTGCTCGCGCCTCCCTCCCTCCCTCTCCCTACTCCACCCTCGGCTCCACAGGCCGTGCATCAGCCTCGCTGCCTCCTCAGCCTCTGCCCAAAAGCTTCAGCTCGCTCAGGCAGCAAGAATGACCCCGATTTTGTTCGCAGGTTAGAGAGTTGTCAGAGCCCAGTTAGCACCCAGAAAATCCAAGGTGGGACTGCGGGGTCAGGACCTGGCAGGAGAAACAGCTCCTGGCCACAGCAGCGACGAGCTGTTAGATCAGCCCAAAGGGGACCCATACAGTTTCACTCAGAAATAAAAAAAAATGCAGCCAAATACGCCTTCAATTTTTGCTGTCGCTTTAGGATGTTTACCATACCCTAAGCACAGTACTAGGTGAAATATTTGTCAATAAAAATTCTTTCAGATGAAATCCTGACTCCTCTACATCAACAAAAGTTACTAACACTGTCGATTTATCTGGACAAAAACAATAATAAAAGAAAACCTTGGAAATGTGTTTAGAAAAACTACTGTTTATGACATCAGATGACTATGGAATAATGCAGACTTTAAACATTAGATGCCATGGCTTAAGGAGTATGCAAACACTCATTATTGCCATTCAAAATTATAAAACCAGGAAACAAATATATGAATAAAATATATATTTTTATGCATACATAAAATATGAACATACAAAAGAAAGTAAATCTCATCCAAAACATTTCTGTTTACCTTGTGGATTTTAAGGCCCCCTGTGCAACCTGATGCTCTATTAAAAATCAAGTTCTTAAGTTTCTGCAAATAAACTGTCCTAAGGAACTGAAAATATTGACATAACTAAAAATTCCTTATAATAAAATTTACAAAAATTATTGTATTTCTATGAGTATGAAATCAACTAAAACTAAACAGCTTTTATATCACAAAAAGGTACAGCGTAAGACACCTTGTGTTACCATTGATATGAACCCCAGTGCCAGTCGGAGTACTTTATGGGACAGCACAATTTACGATGGTACCAGCTCCCCCAAGAACCCAATGCAGTTGTGTCCTGCTGTCCTTCCTCCACAGCACCAGGACAGACTGACAGGGCCTGGTAGTGAACCGACCAAAGCTAGAACGAATGCTAACTCACTTAGGCACCTATGGAAAGAAGCTGTATCCTAACCGGGTACTTGAGCATGTCTGCAAATCTAAGAGATGCAGCAGTTAGTTCACAGACATTTTATTCCATATTAATTCTCAGAAATAAAGAAAAAAACCCAAGATAAATGAAAAGTCTGCATTTAAAAACACATGGAAGTCTTTTAGTATTACATATTTGCCCTACACGTGTGTGCATTTAGTGTTTATAATGAACAAAATAAAGGAACTCATGTTAAAAACTGAGATTTCAAAATAAATTCTCCAGATTTTGACCTCTTTGCACATTTTCAACAACATATGCATTTCCACTTTATATGTGGAATGTGTATTCTTCCAGTATTTGGATACTACCCCACCTAAATATTTCTCCTTTTGTTTCAAGGAGAGTGCACTACAAACCAGAAGTTTTAACCAAAAACCAGAACCCAGACCAAAATCAACTGCATAGGTTACAGCCACCGTAGGAGGTCTGAAGGTGGCGAGGATAAAGAGCTTAATCCACCATCCAAATACAAAGTTTTATCTTGAGTTGATGTCCGGTCTCACTAACTTTGAAAGAGTCATCGATTTTTCAGCAGAAGAAAAACCCAAGCTCAACCGCAGCCAGTAAGACCTTTGGCAGGCAGACACCTCCGCTTCCTAAACCTGCCCCAAGTGCATTCAGGGAGCCACCGCAGCAATTTCACCGACAAAAATAGAAGATCAAAATCATGAAAACGAACTATAGTAGCAAGGTCCCTGCACTGTGACAGGGCGAAGCAACACATAAACAGCCCCTGCAGACGTCTGCCCATCTGCTGCCTAAAAACCCACAAGAAAAGAGCTTTCACATCATCACTAGGTGCCTGTTACAATATTTTCCGTCATAATATTCAACAAAAATATTTTTTCTTACAAATAAAACTAATCCCTCCCTTCCCACAGGAAACATCAAGAACAATTGATAAACATTTTTTGTTGTAGCAATCTTTTAAATATTAGAAGGGAGAGTTCCTTCCTCAGACTTCTTTTATTCTAGACCAGAAACACTCAGTTCCTTTTTTTTTTTTTTCTTATATGCAATGTTATCTGTTATTTCCATTTGGGGGAAGTTACCCACTTATTTCTTAAACTGCGTTACCCAAAATCACTGGCTCTTGATAGAACAATTAATTTCACATCTTATAAAAAAAAACCCTCCTGTTAATCCTTAAGTGAGTTTTACTGTTGCGATAGTATCGAGTTACCCACCTCTGTGCAACCAGCTGCTTTTTTTCCCTCAACGCACCTTGCAAGACGGGGGGAACAGCTTGCTGTCACGTGCTTCCTTTTCACCCCAAATTCAGTATTTCACATTCACTCCTACTGAACTTTAGTTTGCTGCTTTTGGAGAACCTGTGCAATCCACCTAATTATTCTAAGGACATCCAGCAGTTTGCGAGCACTCCCTGTCCATGTTGCACCACCTGCAGACCTCACACTTTCTATTCCATCAAGCACATTAATGAATGTTCTGAACCAGGACCATGACACAACTGCAGAAACTGCACTGGAAAAGTCTTTTTAGATTTTTTTTTTCCCTCCAATTTTCTATAAACTAATTAATTTTCTATTAATATTTGCCATATTCCCTTAGCACATGTTCAATAGTCTGCTTGAAGTCATACAGACAAATCGATGAAGGCAGAATCACCATGTTACAGCTCTGCCTCGGTTCTCTGCCTGTATCGCTGAACAATAACTTTCTCCTCAGAGTGAGAGTGTAAATCCATGTCTCCAAAAGTAGAAGCTACACCAGCTCAAATTATCCATGACCTCATTTTTAAAACATAAATGCATCCGCCTTCGCTCTCCCAAACAATGCCAGCTTTCACTGCTTATTAGCCCAGGTCTCCCACAAACACCTTTGGCACTGTTACCTCACCCCTGAGCCAAGGGAAAAACACCTGAAAACATTTCCATCGTGCTATTACTACAGCCTCCCAACCTCTCCCTGTGATTCACAGTCCATGACGCGAACGTTAACAGCTCGCTGGCTCAAGAGGGGTGGTGGGCTGAGCTGCACCCACGCTCAGTACCCCATTCTACCCACACTTGGGCGTTTTCCCGTTCCGGCTGCACCTTCAGCTCACTGAACCTGTAAGAACTTGCAGTCGTTGCTAGAGAGGGAACAAAACGCACCAAGGTGGCTTCACCCAAAGTGAAGAGCTGCTGGCGTGGCAGCAGACGGGGAGAGGCTGCGATGCTGCCCAGGTCCATCACGTCCGAATCCAGCCCAAGCACACCTTAACGTGTTCCAAGCACAACAATTAGCTCAACCATCCACGCAGTATTAAAGGGATAAGGTGTTTGACTGACAAAGTAAGTAGAGGTGTATTACAAAACAACGGAGTCTATCATCTTTCCATTCTACAGATAATTTGTAATTACAAAAACTACAGGATTCAACAGCAGGTATATAATATAAAAGTATTTATTAACTTTCATGAAACAGAATATGGCTTGAAAAAAAAAAATCTTCTTGGGTCCCTGTTGAACTTTCTCTGTTTTCGTAAGAAGGAGAATCAGTCTCTCTCAGGAATTTGGGATTTTAAGAAAAATATTTAACTCAAATACAACCATCTTACAGAAAGCTAAATGTGAAGTGAACTCTGGGCAACAAAGTCAACCAGTGTATGGAAATAAACCCCCTGCCTCTAAATGCAAATAAAGAAAACACATAAAAAGTGGCAGAGATGATTTATCTCTATTATCAAAACTTCTAAAACCTCAAGTTTTTAAATAAAATAATTGCTGTAAATAGTACACTGCATAAAACACAGCTAAAGAAATGTAAAGGTACCCATCCATCACCCATATCCACCATCCCAGATGTAGCTTAAACTACTGACGTGTTTCTCCTGTGGACTCATGAGCTGATCGTATCAAATGCTTCCAAAAAACCCCACCCCTCAGCAAGAGGAAATATATCTTTTTCAATCTTTTAATTTCTAAGCTTTTAAAAAATATCTTTGTTTTTTTAATTTTAGCAAAGCCATCTTTCAAAAGCATATTCCAATGTCAAGCTTGAAGAAAAAGTTCTGCCTCTGTCAAAATAATTTGCAAACTTTATTGGAGTTTTAAAAGCCTGATTACAGGACAAAACATGCATTAAGCATTTTGCTAAAATTCCAAAAAACATAATTGCAGAATGTCATTATATTCAAAGGGTCATGTTCATAATAAATACCTGCAGCTTAAAAGCAGCCCGGAATTTTTTAAGAGTTTTAGTATCCGAAGAAGGCAAATGTTCTATATACTGTTCTCAAAATTCTGACATCACATTGCAATGGTTAAAGCAAGAAACAGCTCAACTGAAGACTACAGAAAATCCCCGTCTTCTCAGGCGGTCTACACTTCGTTATGCAATACTACTCTGGAAACAGCACTTCACCAAAGGCCTGGCAATTGGCTTCTGCTTAAAACACACTCTGCCTTGTAACATTCTTCAAAGGACTGAAACGTAATTGATTCTGGCAGTACACGCGGTCAGCATGATGTGCAGGGGGTTGCCAGTGGACATGGGGCCCTTATATAAAGGGCTGTTTTCTTTGTTTAAAATGGAAAAAAGAGTGGGAGGTGTGGAGAGCAGTGAAATACAAAATGACTCAGAATCATAAAACATATTTTTTGAATCAGATTATTTCAACAACCGTATATTCAACTAGAAGGCTTCCAACGAGGACAGTGGCAGAGCTTCCGAATTGCTAAGGCAATTCACATATTCTTATTCCCATAAAAAAAGATAGACACTATAGTTATATACATCCTTCTAAGTATTCAGAGAATATTGCAAGTTGAACTCCAGAGAAGCCATCGACATCAGTCTGAAAGTGACGGGGAACGGATTGATCGTGCACTGGCAGGACTGTTAGAGAAAGCAAAGGGATCCTTTTCCTTTTCTTTAGTATCATGTTTATGTTTATGCTTATGCTTATGCTTGTGTTTCTTCTTCTTTTTCTTGTGCTCATGGTGGTGGTGGTGATGGTGATCGCTGTGTTTGGAGGAGTTCGACTCTTTGCTAAACACAGAGAGTGGGGCTGCCGAGACAGGGTGCATGTTCATCTCTCCTGAAGATTGCTCTTTACCTAAAAGAACGGATACGTGGTGTTAGTAAACGTTTAACTTGCGTTGCTTTCAAACATAAGAAATTCTGAAATATTACACAAAACCTACATTATCATTTAACACGCAAACGCAGAATCTGCTATGACACTTGTATGATTTGCGCTCTGGTTTTTTCAGAACAGGCTCTGACCACGCCATTGAAGTTCCTGTACTACTGACAATTTTTACAGAGGTACTCCTTCCCCCCTCAGAAGTATAAACGTATCCCAGACCATTAGGAACCGTAAAGACCTATGAAACTGCAAGTGATAATAGCTTCCAGAAATTAATTTTTAAACAGAGTAGGAAGGCCACTATACCATCAATAATGAAAATACAGCTGCTTATGAAAACGAGGATATAAAAGGCAGGACTGGCATACACTACAGCGCAGTTCTGGGATGTGAACTCCTTTTAGTCAGGAGCTAACGCTCCCTGCAAGAACATGCAAACCTTTTGATACTGAACAGAAGAATTGCTTTTTCCAAAAATTGCATCTTAGAACCAATTGGAAAGATTATACAAAGTTTTGTTCTTAAACAAAAAGCAACATGCAAACCTTTTGATACTGAACAGAAGACTTGCTTTTTCCAAAAATTGCATCTTAGAGCCAATTGGATTATACAAAGTTTTGTTCTTAAACAGTAAACTCCAATCAGTTACACCATCTTTATTAGCATCTATTTCACAAATACACTAGAACTACTTTATATATAAAGTCTGGCATCTCAATCTGAGGAAGGAAAATATGATCCATGACCTCTCACGATTCCTGAATGACTTTCTCATTCTCTCTTTGGCTCATTTAATCCATTATTTCACACAATCTGCAATAGCTTCAATAGTAGGGAGTAAAGGGCAGTAAGCTAAGAATAACATTGTTAATAAGGGGAAACACTTGGCATGTAGAAAGGCTCAAATCCCTTCAGGCAGAAATTGAATCAAATCATTCACATTGCAAGAACGTGCTTTAACTACTAGACAAATGTAGAAAAGCACTACCAGATTTTTGAAGGCAACTACTTCTTCAAATTTTACTTAAAATTGATTTTCTTCACAGCTGCTTTAAACGTTCAGGGTTTCCCCCCCGCTCCCTCCAGTTTTTGAATAAATATTCCTGTTAAATAACAAGAAATTACATTATGTACTTTGTAATTATCTTTTTCTGTATATTTGAAAACGGATTTTTTTTCCGGTAGATCTTTTTGGTTGGTTGGTTGGGTTTGTGTCTTTAAAGGCAAGAATGATTTGTCTATGGGTATGATTCCTGGAAGTCTGAAGAGCTCCCTGTAGTGTGACAAACAAGCACTGAGAAAGATTTCCATGCAATCTTTCCAGCCTTATCCAAAAGATTAAGAACTGATTCAATCAAGCAGATATATAGGAAAGCTTCTAGACAGTACAGCAGTTCTGGGTTTTGTTTGTTTGTTTTTAAATATGACCGGAGAAAACTAAATCTACATCTGCAGGCAGTGTTTAGAAATCAGAATAGAAATACAAAACATTTTTAGAGTGAGGATAATCAATGACTTACTATGGGACACGGTGGAATCTCTATTGCTTAAAGTCTTAAGCAGCAGAAGTGATGTCCTTCTAGAAGTACGCTTGGGCTCAGCCACAAGATGTGAACATGGCGCAACATAAAATTCTGCTGATGTTACGAGGGAGGCTAGACTAGAGGACAACAGTTTCCTATAGACTTAAAATCTCTAACATACAAGTGTGTTAAAGAACTTATTTCATCAGAACTATACAGTAGTAAGATCATGTTATCAATGCAAAGATTTGTTGCTAGAGCTCACAACGACTGTACTTTTAAATGTATGTTATGGCAGATAGAAGATAGGCACACAAATTCAAACTTCCACTTGCTGATTTCAATGCAGTTACTACAACTTTTTTACATTGTTGCCTGGAGCCTTTCTCCACAATGCAGACACCATGCAAGTATACTGTATTTGACGCAAAAAGGTACAAGGCTGCTTCACAATTTAATTATTTCTAATTATATTTCTCTAAGAAACTCCTACCTGTACCTAAACCTATCCCTGAAACTTGGGCTCATTCCTTTAAAGCATACAGCTTTTAGACAAGTAAGAAAATTTTCTTCAGCAGCTGCAAGGATGCAAAACCAGCCATCAAACAGGAGACTGATCAGTGGAAAAAGGAGTGTATCTGACTTGAGCCATCAGAAAAGTAAGGGTTGGAGGATGTACCTCAGAAAACCAAAGCACATAGTATTTGACACCATTAAAACAGGCTGCAGTAGTTAAAGGTGAACTGTGACATGAACACAACTTCTAGTAACACAGAAATAGAAGTCGGGGCGAAAAGCCTGAAGAAGACTGATTGGTGTTCATCCACAAAAGATGTACAAAAGGTTATCTAAGGTACAGAACACATTCTCACATGTTCTCAAGCTACAGGCACCTCACGCATTAAAATACACAAGGCAAACTAAAGTCAAGCTAAAATAAAACAAAAAACCCCCACACAAGGCACAAACCCTTAAAACTTCACAGTTCCATTAGTTTCAAATTGTGGAGTTACTTTTATACGGAAACTGAACCTGTAAGTCTAGACACTACATCAATAACAACCTCAAACCAAAACTAAGCCCCTGAGTTTTAAAAAGTTTAACCCAGAATAACTGGTATAAGGATGTGGACTTAAGTCTGCAGGGATGATGCAGCGGGAGCGCCAAGCGCCAGTGAAGACAAAGGGTGCAATCAAACAGACCTTCTTGACTCTGTTGTGCCACCTGCCACAGGTAGCAAATTTCCTGCTGTTTATGGAACTACCAGCTCTGCTAAGGCAACAGTCTGCATTATCACTTCTTTACTTATTTCAGGGGGGTTATTAAAAAAAGTAACCTATTATTTAAAGCAGTAAAACACCATGGACTGGAACAAGTTAGGGAGCAAATACAACAGCAGCTTAAGCCAACAGGACTGAAGGGGATGAGCACCTAGAAACTGAAAAAGTCAGAAAATCTTCAGGAAGGGGAGAAACAGGATCCAACTGCAACTCAAGGGCTACTGACACTTCAACACTGGTACTGTGGCACAAATGTCAATAAGAAATGAAAGAATGTCATTACAAAAATCTACCTTTACTGAACCAGTACTAAAGAGTACACAAACACTTTCTTTCTTCATGGAGGTCAATGATAGCTATAATCTGTTGGTTTTTTGAACGCAGAAATAACAACTATCCAGAAAATTTCCTCCTACTGTTGAAGAGTGCTTTGAAATCAGGAATAAAATAGACTGATCCTGGACGATGGCTCAGAAAGGACGGACACAGACTACTGAACTCAGATGTCTGTAAAATGGACAGACCTGTAAAAGCTCTATAAAAATTTTACAGATTTGTACCTGTGAAATTCACCGTTAAACTTGCAGAACACTTTTTCTTCATTTTAATTTCTTTTTAATTAACATCTACTTAAAGCCCATGCCAGGGACCTGCCAAACTAGGAAAGCAAGGCTAAATACAAATTGCTTTACAGGGCATTAATATTGTCCTCACATCAACAAGGGTAGCAGGACTGCTGCAAGGAGGCACGGAGCACTCCCTCTTCCTACAGCGAACCCACGTCCTCTTGGCAGAGGGAGCAAGACTGGAACCCAGGTTGCTCCAATCACAGAAACACACAATAAGTGGAGGGTGAGCCCAGGAGCTCGCTTCTGAAGTGGTTAGTAGCATTCCTTGGAAGAAAATGCACATACATGTGTCTATCCACTTGGATCTCCTTCTGTTTGGGATGTGGAGATTCCAAATATTGGCTTTGCGGTGTTCCAGCTAGCTGGGTAGGTGTCTAAAATTAGACAGGATTACTAACCCATGGGAGAAAGATCAAAAACTTTGTGTACGCCTTGTCACAGGGATGGACACGAATGCTGTAGATAATGTGAGAGAGAATAAAAATATGAAAACACAGATCTCATAGTTTAGCTTTAGAGTGAAAGGGGTTTAGATCTCGATAAGCTTTAAAGTAACATTTCTGCCATAATGAAAATCGCTGACAGATAACTATAACATCCTGCTCATCAATTACCTAGAGTGAGTTTTCTTCTTTTTAAGAATCATTGGTGCATGAACACTGCACAATGTTGCTGGGTAGTGTTTCACCTATTTTACTCCCATTTTGTTATTGAACCTTCACAATTTGGGAACATGTAACCTCAGATTTTAAGCTGCCAACAAGCTTCCATAAGATTTTCTATATGGTCTCTCCTATATTTCTGATTTTGTGTGAAGAGGGTGGGACACCACAGACTGACAGTCTCTGTTTCTCTGCATGTACAATCTATTTAAAACAGCTGGCTTATGTAGGACTTTTCCAAAGTCACACTTGTTAAAACTGACTCCATTTGCACCCTGATTTATTCAAATGTCAGAGAGGGAGAAACCAACTTCACAAATCACAGCAAAGGGTAAGGCCCGTGGGTCCAGTGTTGCAGCTGAGGACAGGCTGGCACTCCAGAACCCAACACCAACCACCTCTGGGAAGAAGGGGACATCAACACAAGCACACAAGCACTTAATAGGTCTCTCCTAGGACCCAAAGACAGCTTGCTAATGAAAAAAAGAATGTAGCTGCTTTGCCTAGCAGTTGAACTGCAGCTCTGGCTAGCGTTTTCTCTAAAGAGAGAACACTGAAAGAGCTGAAAAGATCTTAAAAACTGTTTTGACAATTACCCTGGTTTTCCTTACTTCTACTTTTCTTTTTTAATATTACCCTGGAAACATCCAAGACACGCTATTTTTTAATTTAATGCTGTATTTATGCATCTGTTGAACCATGAACAAAGCACATACAGAAAGTTACCAAGCATAAATAATTCCAGAATGCAAGAGTGCCTTGTCATTTGTCTTAAGAAGCCGAGTTTTCATATTATGTATCTCTGAAAAAAAGTTACCAATTTTTTGTCTAGTACAGTGTTCTTTTAATGACCATATGAGAAAATTTAAAGTTTGAGAGTGAGAAGCAAAGGTCTAGTTAAAAAAAATAAAAATGAAACCACTCCAAAGTTTTCTGAGGATGTGCTAAACAAATCAGTTAATTTGGCTCCAACATAAAAATTTTAACTAGTTCAAATTTACAGATTCATTTGACTTCATATTTTTTTGTGGGATTTTTATCCAGACAGAATTCCTGATACCTATACCAAAGGACAGCCTCTGCTGAAGTACTGCATAGATGAGCTGGTGATTTAACTAAAATATATTTTTAACTGGTAACCATTTTATTAATTTCCCCATTTGACTTTCACTTTACAACTACATTGCTTTGTCCTTACATTAAAATAATAGCTTAACTGTGGGATTATTTTCACTACATTTACTTTAATATTCTAGAAAATTCTAGACTATTCCCCACTCTACAGAAAAAGAACATTTACATTAGCAATTCAGAATATTTTGTGCCTCTAACAGTTTCAGGTAGTTCCCTTGAAAATTTAGTTGCTTATCCATCTTCTAGGTTTGAAAGTGATCAGTTGTTCTCCCAGAGACAGTCACAGCTACAATACTATGTTGTTTTTATTAAACTTCTTCATGGACACACTGCAGCCACACACTGCAGCCACACACTGATGCGATTCTCATTTATGTTGTCACTTTATCTGCAGGGCTTATGTTTCTATGCACTTTAGGACAAAGCACTTGAAAACACCCTTCCTTGTGAAGTGTTCAATTAACCACATACTATTTCAGTGATGCAAAATTATCTCCAGAACCAGAAAGCCTATGAATTACCATTTTGGAAACATTCATATTTTAGGTAGTAAAGTCAACATATGTGTTACAGGTACTATCAAACAGATACTACATTAGTGTTGTGTGTTATTAAAGGGTAGTCTAACACAACAGTACTAACAGCTTTTCCCTCTTTAAAAAGTAAAGCAAAAACCATCATTGTCACCGGTGTCCTCGTACTGAGAAGTGTTCATTTATGTATGTCTGTGTGCTGATGCTTCCGTAACCCTTTTTGGCAGGGAGTCACTAAACTGAACTCTGAGGTACTGCTGCTCTTATAGGTAACTCCACTGAGCTGCGGAGACCGGGCTTTTCATAGAGTTCAGACTGAATTCCTATTAACTACTGTATCCACACCTGAAAAGCAGCGATTTGCACCACATGCTCAAATCTACTGCTGTAAATGTACATTTTAAAACATGACTACAGTAGTTTCCCTGTACACTTCACTGCAGTACATGCCGTATCCAGTTTCAAATTGTTCCAGAGACAATTCAACCCAACTAAATCATTATTTCCTGAAACTGCAGACAGCAAATGTGATTAACAAGCAACCACAATCTAATCAGCATGTGTGAGCGTGGCCGAGACCTTCAAAGCTTCATGTACACCTACACAGTAAACAGAGCGACCCACAAGGTCAGCAGTGGAAATTTCCAGCTTGATTATCCTGGAAAACAGCAAATGGATTAATAGAATGGCCAAAGGATTTTTCTGATCTGAGTTTGAATGCTCAGGATCTGTCCTCAAAGCCCACAGCTCCTGAATGTGATCAGAAAAAGGACTGCCAGCACACAAAGGGAACATCGCTGTACTTACTTTTTTTTTTCTTTTGTAGAAATAAAGATAAGAGAGAACTGGATACTGCTTTGTATCAACTATCAAACTACCAAAATTAGTTGGGAAAATTCTAATTAACTGTTCATCAGTGATGACCTGTTGAGCCATAACGATGTGTGACTTCACTGGTAGATCACAGAGGCTACAGCCAGGCATTTATTTTGGAAGCAGAAAAGGACAATCAATAGCCACTGACACAAACAGCAGAACTTCTTCAAGCTTAATTCTCAAGTATTACACTTTCAGATGAGTGAAATATTAAAGTAAATAAAGCAGTGTATCTTAATCTGATTTCACTGAAGTCAACAACACATAACAAGTCACCTTACAGTCTGAAATGAGAGTTTAAGTCTACTGCTTACACAAAATCTGATCTTGAAATTCTTTCGATCTTAAGATAAGAGTAGGGAGCGTTACCACTATGCTTGATGATTTAGTAGTAAATAAAAATCTGTTCTTGCATTAGAAATGTGACCTTGCACAGCTTAAGGGGCACAAAGGAGGCTACCATGTTTCTAGTACTTTGGGCAGATGAATAATCAACACAGCAGCATTTGTCAGACAGTTCACAACTCATGTTTTGTTTGTTTTAATAACTTCTTGAAAAATACTCAGAATCCCTTATAACTACTACCACTTGTCTATTATCATAAACAGGATGCTTTAAAACATGATTTAAAACATTTTCTACGTGAACAACTGTGAAAGGTGCTGCAATCATAGTACTGAAACCTGTAAACCTGCAAGAGTTCTTTTACTGCCCTTGCAGTGTGTCTCAACCCTAACCTTTCACATCCATGAGCAGAAGCATATAGCAAAAAAGTTTCTAAAGGAAAACAATATTTTTCTGGCTTTATGGGGGTTACAACAACTTGAGCAAATCCAAATTATCATTCAGGGTGGTGTGGGAAGTGCTAAAAAAACAAACACACAGAGATACGTCGGGACTTAGACCCAACATGAACTTCCTCCTGGCAGCTGCTGTTCGCAGGCTGCGTTTGGCTGATGACCTAACACTTCATGTGACATGTGGCGACACAACCCACAGCTGTGAGAGGAAAACTGAGTATGGACTAAGAGCTTGCTGCCTTCCAAGTAAGAGTCACAGAACTGAGGCAGATACAAGATCTTACAGACTTACTAACAAGATACTGAGACCATTTCAGAACCTGCTGTCAATCTATTTCACAATAATCACTCACTGAAGTGCACCCATCCTCCATCATTACTGCAAAAACTCAAAGGCCTTCATGAAATATTATCTGCGATTCCTTTGTAAAACAGAACACTCCTATGTGTGAACAATTTTATTAACGTATGCTTTTATTTTTCCCCATCTGTTTCTTCTCAGAAGCACACCACTTCCTAAAGATTGAACTGTCTTTACTTTCTCAGTCTGAAATTCATATGTCTCTGCTTCTAAGAAAAATGCTATGAATAAGAAACAGGTGAAATCTGAGAAGCAAAAAATATCTGAAGTGGAACTGTTTCTAACCAAAGAAAATTAAATTAATCTCAAGTGTTTCAAAATAATGTTTTTCAAAGGCTTATTATTTAAAATGGATTCTGTCTCATTTATTACCTAGAAAAGAAAATGTATTCGAGTGTGCAGCATGCCTAAACGGCAGAGGTGAGAAGGTCAATCCGCACACAAGTGAAAATTGAAGTAGCTTTTGTCTGCTGTAGGTTTACAAAAGCCGCAGTCGACTGGCCATTACTCCGCCCCTGATCAGACCTTACCCTTTCTGAACTCCAGTGTGAACTTAATATGCAACAGTCCTGGAGCACAGAGCTGACGTACAGAGGGTCCCATAAGTCCTATTTGTGAAGTATTTGGCAGAGTTTTGTTTATGACTTTGTAGTCTGTAGATTGTGTAAATCTAGTAAAAAAAATTTGTTGCAAAGTATCATGTAAGAGTTATAAATACTAATCCTCAGTGGATCAGCTTTGCACTCGCATGCCCTGGATGTGTCATTCTTTGCCATAAAAGAAAATGTGATGACCATAACACTGAGGACAAAATTCAGAGCAGCTCTGAGAGGTTTAACGTAAAGGTTGTGCAGAATTAGGCTCCTAAGTTCATGACAGCAACCTATGTGCAGCCTTACCCTTTACACTGCTGAAATGCCTATGCTTTAGGCTAATCTACAGATCTAACAGCAAATCCATCCTGGCTGAGCTGGCTGTACAGGCACATGTCATTAACCAAAGGCCATCTGGAATCCAGAAACTAGACCTCCCTGTGTTTTATGTCCCCATATGAACTTAATTTGTTAGCTGAGCAATGACAGCAGTTACCTTTAGAAAAAAACCCCAAAACCCCTTAGTGGCTAGAGCATCTGCCAAGCAAGTAAAAACGCTAAGTCCTAGGGCCTAAGGGAGTATGAGCCTGCAGCTTTCACACCCCCGGCCAGCACCAAGGCACCAGCCTCAGCAGGGTACTTGGAGCAGGAACATCCACCAGCCCTTCTCTTAAACAGGGCCACTCCACTGCCAGGTCACCGGGAAAGCAGACGAGGTCGCCTGTCAGCATGGCGCAGGATCTAGGGCACTCAAGACGGAACCAATGTTCCAGATCCTGTTGCTAAGTTCTACTTGTGTTTTACATTAGGCAACCAGTGGATAAAACCAGAAAAACAAGCAAGAGGGTATTTACTCTGAATCCTCTTCTAAGGTCAAATACTTCACTTTTACACATTGGAACCTTAAAACCTTGTTGCGGAGGTGTACCCAAGTTCTCGCAAAACGCTTGTTACATAATCACACTACCTCAGCTTAGCTCCGCTGGCACATCCTGGAACTAAACTTAAGAACTAAGGTTAAAACATTTTGAGAAAATGAGACTAACCACTGAATTTCTTTGCTAGTGACAGTTAAGCAAAGAAGGTGGGAGTTCATCAATGAAGTTCAGCTTGCCTTAAGGTTTCTAAGAACCACTATTCTTTGAGAAGTAATTTTGTCAAATATTTTATGAAAAAGATACTAAAGGAAGTAGTAACAGAAAAGAAGTGCTTGAAATGAAACCATTTTACTCACAGATGCAATCTTTTCAACTTTGAAAAGCCCTTCTAAGCATCTTTGAGGCTTGCATGTTTTTTAACTACTGATGTTAAGTTAGAAATCATTAAAATTAGAGATTTTTTTTTACCTGAATAGTCTTGTTACTTTTTTTAAAAGTTAATCTTCAAAATTATTATTTTTTAAATGACAGCTATGGCAAAGTAAGTTTTACCTAATTGCTTACGGGGTTCTATTTCAGCTTTATGTTACTTTATTCATTCCTCGCTTCTCATTTTTATAAGCATGATACATACTTGTCTTACTTAGATATGTATGAAAATACACATCTACACAGTTACCTATAAATATACCAGAAGCTAAAGAAATGTTCTTATGCACCCTTTACACACTTCCTGGAATTCAGTTAACATGTAACACTTACCAACAATGTATGTATGGGAATAAGCAAGAGCAAACACCACCCCCCAGCTGAGATACTTGAAAAATTCATACTATCATTTTGCCATTAAATTTACTCGTACCTGGTGTGGATGGTCTCTCCAACATATTCAAATGATGGTAAATAAAGGCTTGACTGTCATGAACTGTGTCCATATCAATTTCCTCCTCCTCTTGAGAGTTTGAGAACTAAGGTATCAGGAAAAAAAAAATAAGCAGATGCTAATAACTCATAAGAGTATCACTAAATAGAACTTAAAATATTTTATTTTTGAGGTAAACTGGGGGTGAGAGGGAAAGGAAGTGATATCTACCACTGCAAAGGAATAAAAAATCAATTGAATTAAAAAGGGTCAGTCTCTTTTCTTCTTTCTAATTTACCATGAAGCTGTGCGAACAAGAGCATTAACTGTCAGCTTTAGTTCTTGCCAGCCAATAAAGAATCTGATGGGAAATGATTTTGCCAAAGTAAACGTAACAACTACTGTACACATATACACAGCATGTGTTTTGTTTCAACACAGCTTTAAGGGAAGTCAGCAGTAGCCTCTGCTGTTATTCTGAATACCCTACATGTTGTGCAAGTTGAATTTCCATTTCTTACTCTGATTTTGAGTTTGACTTTACTGTCTTCATTCTTCTCTAGTATTTGCCCTGGCTCCAATGGAGACCCGAGTGGCATATCAGCCTTCCTCTTCACCCCCTGCTGATGACCAGAAATGCTGGATGCTGTTTCCTTAATAAGATGATCATCCTCCTGAAGCAGCATTAAAAGACCAAAATTAGAAGATAGCAAAAGCCATGTTTCAGCCTAAAGAGACCTGACAGCTGAAAACACTTCTGAGTAAAGTGGGTGATTTGAACAAAGTTTTCCCTGTAGTTCTGGCAAAAAGTATTTTCTAAAACCCTGTATGGATTTGTGCCAACCTCTCCTACAAACATAGTTTCTCTTTACTTCTGTCCCTGCTCCCTCTGCATATCTAGCATTGGCATCTTCTCTGTCCCTTCTCACAATCATGGTACTGTTGGTGTGCAACAACATTTGCTGCCTCTGAATAGCCTTTCTATAAATGTGCGCCTTGCAGACTCTCCTCAGTCCAAATCTCAGTTGAAAAACTGTGATAGCCTCTGATCTACATATGGGATTCAGCTAAATCTTCTTTTACTCGGCTTTAAAAGCTAATGCTTACTTTGTTGAATACAAATCATAACAAGCACTTATAACTTGGTGGGTTTTTTTATTTCACAACAACATTTATTAAAGAGTTAAATTGTTTTGTAAATTACTGCTTAGATCATCAACAAAAACAGTGTCAAAGGAATATAAAAATAGCAGGAGAGTCTACTAAGTTACACATCGAGTCATCAAAACAGGAGACAGGTGTTCCAACAAGTCCAATAGACAAAATATAGAGGGAAAAATAAAGTATCCACAGAAGCAAACATCATTAAAAGCCCACTAAACACTAGATAAAAGCCGTATCATAGACTCTCAAGAGCATATGCTGCTCCACTGAACTGCTCTTCCTCTACGCTACAAAGGGCACTCTAGCCCCACAAACTCTTCCCTTGAACAATTCAAATTCAGTTTTATGAAGTGGGTAACTTCTACCATCCTCAGCAAATTCAGTGTCACAAGTCTATCAGTACTGATTTTAACATGTTTATGCTCTCAGAATACAGAGTCTGCTTTAAAGAATCTAGTTAAGCTGATGTATTCTATCACCTGTTAATCCTTTTTTCCCCTCAAATAATTTAACCCAACACGTTGCCGTTGTGAAATGCTTTTGGATAAACTTTGGCTGATGTGAGAGGCAGTCTTTGTTTCATGTTACTGGTTTGATTTATTTACAAGGAAAATCAGTTCCCTGAATTTTGGGGGAGATACAGCAGAAATGGTAACCTTAAAGTACGGTGTAGGAGAATGGAGATGAGGCACTGAAGAAGATATAAGGGATGAAGTGTGCATTGAGGCTTACACTAATGCTGTATTTTCGCACTAGTGTAAGCCAGTACTGCTGCTAAAAGAAGCAGCCTCATCCTCACACATTTCTGTCCTGGGCCACCACAAGCATTTGTATAACTACGTGATTAACTGGACCAGGAAACATCTGTTCATAAAAAAAGGTATTTTTCAACCAGATCCTCCCCTGATCCAGCTCACTATGCAGCAACAACAACTGTGCTAGCACAAGGGAGAGGACAGTACAGGAAAAAGAAGAGTTAAAAGGAATTGTTTTTATTAAGATAGTCTTGCTGCAAAGAAAGTTTGGATATTCACTGAACTGCAACCTAGAAATCTGACAACAAAACGTCTCCTGCTATTTAATTCCGATGCTTCTGTGCAGCAAATTAGAACTTACTACATGTTCAGTAAATATGTAGGATAGCTCTAATGATATTTGACTCCGTCATCATTTTCTCCCCCTACTGGAAATAGCCTGCAAAGTACTGCGATAATTTGCCCTCATGGTACATTTCTGAATAAAAGCCATCTAGAAATTAACTATGGGACTGATAAAGTAACAGAAAACCATCCCATTCAAAACGGTGGAAAGAGTTCCAAACATGCTAACCACATGTTCACATTCTCGTTCAGGATTTACTCCTAAAGCAGTTTCAATCAAACATAAGTTTTTGAAACTGTTAAGAAAATTACTCATTATTTCCATGTCTGTTGTTTTTTTTCCTCATAATTATATTTGTCCAACAAAAAGACTTAGACTTGCAGCAGTGGCAGTTATTCTTAAGAAAAGTATGATTTGAATAGCTTATAAGATCTACTTTCTAACTACGCAATGGATTATGTGTTAGGACTGAAGCCTCTGAAGCCGGAAAGATAACAAACTTAATGTATGTGATTTTTCAGAAGTTGTAACAAATCCTTCAGAGCACAGTACTCAAGTGTTTGATGAAGGTATGTTAAAAGTTTCAACTTTCACATCTCAGAGTTGTTTAAAGAGAGGTATACCTATATATTATAAGAAGTAATAAATTTACTGATAAAAGGTTTTGTTTTGGAAAATTGCATGACTTGCCTATAAGCAATATTTTTAGTCTAATAAAAAAAGTTTTCATCACAGCATCAAACATTTCTGTGAATTACTTCATGTCTCATAAGTAATATAAAAAAAGGGAAGTTTGATAAAGAACAGAAATGATGAAACTAGAAAAAAACAATTAAAAATCTTGCATATGCTATGCAAAACAGTAAAAAAAGTTATGGTATATGCCAGCTTTTCACGTGGAAGAAATAAAGAGTAACAAGGTATAAAGGTAGCTTAGGTAAAGCATGAGAAGCCTGAACACAGTACAAAATTAAACCAGCAACCAAGGCAAGGAGTCAGAGGCAGCTGAATGGGATGTATGCAGACGGTTTGTGCTTACGGTGTTCTGAAATCCTACTGACTGTCCGTGGTTGTTAGTACTATTCACAGGTTCCTGATTATTTGCAACCGATTCAGGGATAATCGTTGGATTAAGTACAGCCTTCTTTTCTTTCAGATTAAGAACAAGTCCAAGCTCTGGTAATGGTAAACAAGAAGGTCTGCTGAGACCAAAAAGTGTGAAATAGAGGTCCACAGCACCACATCGTAATCTCCAGTCATGTGAAGTTCCTAAAATCCAAGAGAGATTATTATTAATAGAGAGGTTTATCTTCTCCTCCCCCACAAATAAAACAGTTTAAGAGATCTGGATCCACCAGAGTATGACATTTTCTGTCCTTAAAATGTACTTCCCTCATTATTCCTGCCTCTTTTTGACTCAAACTCACCTGCCACATCCTGTTTAAAAGGAAGGCTTTAAGATGTTTGGGTTCTAAGTTAAACATGTTTAGCAGAACATGACTGGGAAACTAAGTGCTGTAACAACATAACGAAAAATAAAAGGAAAATAACCACACCCATACGCTTCTATTTTTTAAAGTTTCACTTTAAGTTTTACTATCTGACAATTAAATAGAACATTTTGTTACCAAACTGGCTTCCCATATGAATGGATTTGGTCGCACTTGCCTATGTATTCCATGAAATGTAGCAGGAGCCTTAAGCATGACTGAGATCTGTACCCTCTGGAAACCGCACTGGCACAGAAGACAAACCAGCAAGGCATAAACAGGTTTTTTGATGTCACTACTACGTCAAGTACTTCACTGGGTACTCAACACTTTAATTTGCATTCACACTGGAGATATGTATTCTTACTGCACAAAGCAAGGCTTCGTTGATTTTATTTTTTGCTGCAAACTGCGTACTGCTTTTGTATCTTCATACACAAATGGTCAAAGCACGTTTGGCACCAATCACAACAGACAGACATCTAACATCTGGTGCAACGCTGCAAATACAGGGATTCTGGTGTTAACTCAGCCCAGCT